ATATTGATATATTTACAGCAAATAAAAAATATTGTATTTTTAAAGGAAAGCTTTACTATTATTAAGCTATATTATTAGTAGTAACTTCCTTAACGTTAAAATATTATGAAATATACTTATATGTATTTATAACGTATATTTTATCTTCCGCAACAATTCTTCATAAACAAATTAATTTTAACACGCGTTTATCGTAATTCATTTATAATTGATTTACAATAAATTTGCATTAAAAAATTATAAAAGACGTTTATAATACTATTATACGTCTATCTTTTTTATCATCAATAATAATTTCATAAATTCCACAACGTATCAATTCTCATGTAAATCCTTGTTCTTCCCACGATATATTAACAACTCCGATACAATTCTTGTGTTTTTCTCACGAATTCTCATAGATTATACAGTTATAGTCATCTAGTAATATCCCAGGGTGTAACTAGCCTTGCTCCATTTATGCTGTTGAAGTCAATGAAAAGATTAGCACGATGTTCCCACTACTTTGTCATCGATAACAATTCGCTCAAACTTGGATATATTCTTGCTACCGCTGCATTTTGCGAGAGAGGTATCACTGAAAGTATATCGAATCGAAGACAACGGAGGACTGTAGGCGACTCGCGCGATCGATTCGTAGGGAACCTCTTCAGGAACGTGCAGGTTTAATCCCGGACAATGCCCGTCACGCACACGACGCCGCGGCGAAAATTCATGAAATTCTTCGTGGCACTCTGTTCCGATCTTTAAAAAGCGGAGGCTTTTAGGCTCCGAAGACATCGTCTTTTTTTTTCACTGTCTTCGAGCGCACGATCGCGGATTATCCTTCGGGAGCATATTCGCCCTTACGAACGTTCTTCGGGAACCCAAAAATAAACGTACTTGCATGAACAATGTTCGGTATGTCTAATTTACGAGCTTACAAATAATATGCAAGAGATGTCATGTAAATATAAAAAATTAACTCTTGAACAGTACAGCTCATAAATTAATTTTTCAACATTGTCCATTCAATTTATTATTACTTTTTTTTTTACCAATAGATTTTACAATTTGTAATTATAATTATTTTATTTTATATAAATAATCTGTTATCTAAATTATTTTATAAATAATCTGTTATTTAAAAAAATAATATTTGGAGACAAAAAATTGCATTTTCTGTCATATATAAATTTCATCTTTTCTTTTAGATTCTTTTCCTTAAATCCGTTTTAGTGCAACATGATTTGGACTTTATTTTCTTAATTTCATAAAGTTTAAATTTCATTTTTCGTTGCACATGTAACTTGCAGACAGCCGGGCACGGTTATTACGAAGCGTGTGATGCGGCGAAGTAGTTAATAGAGCGAAACTGGGACGGGATAATTAACGTCGCACCAAAAAGTTCGCGCATTCGCAAGTTAGATGAATCAAGCGATCATCGGAAAAATCGGTGACGACGCATCCGTGATGTATCAGCGTCGCGCGGCGCGATTCGATCGACTGACAACGTTCACCGAGCAGCGTTTCATAAACGCATTTATTATGACTCCCAGAGCGAGTAATTTCGCCCGGTGCGGGGCCCCCACCATATAAACAATTTCTCGGCCCGCCTTGATGAGTCCAGGCGTTATGCGCTATCGGTCACGATACCGATTCTGTCTGATTCCGCCCGACGAGACATATGCGAGTCATCCGACCAGAAAGAAACATTGCAGCAGTGCTGGTACTGTATACGAATTAAATTGAGAAATTTAAGTTATAGTTGTAAAATCAAAAAAAATATATTGTCTAAGCAATATTTTTATTTAGAATAAAATTTAAAAAGACTCATATTTTGCAAAGCAGTGTGAAAATAATAAAGCCAAAATCGAGCAAAATTAAAGTATACGATTTAAAAATAATTTATTACAACAAGAAACAGTTGTTCTCAACAATCTGAACTTTTTATTGTACAATAAATTATTTTTATTATCGACACTCTTTTGCTCGTTTTTCGCTTTATTATTTTTACATAGCTCGTAAATATAAGTAAATTCTTTTTTTTAAATAATGTATTCTCTACTCATTATATCGTGAAATCAGAAAAAAATTCGCCGCGACTTGAACGTGACACTGACTAAAAGAAATTATTACAAATTTATACGAAAATTATCACATATTCATTTCGAATATTAATTAAATTTCGATTTATGCGTATTTAGCATTATGAAGGTTAATGTCATGATCGACGGCATATAGATTTTTTGTGGCACGACTCGCGGCACGAATGTCACTCGAGGAATCGATACAGAGCAGTCTCTGAGCAGCTGTAATGCGGGAAATAATTCAGAGGCTATTTCGGGATGAGAAATCGTCTAAAGTCGCGGGCGGAATCGAGTAAACCGAGCGGTAGTCGAAGGTGAACTGACGCCACGGCTGATTTGTGTTGTCGGTTGCAGCACGGATGCTAATAAGAAGAATTAACGGCATCTCGTTAAAGATTAGACAGTACTGTGCGAATTTTCGCGACTGATTCTCCCAACTCGATAAGTGAGAAATAAGATCACAGAGAAAAGGATGTATCGATTCTTTTTTCGGCGAATTTGAAGCAAATTTTTCTTCAGCCAAATTCTAATTATACATACAGAAAATAAATATTTGGCGAGTTAAATCTTCTATCATAAATATAAGATTAATATAAATTTGCAAAAATTAATTCTAGACCAGAAAGAATTTGGTAGTTGTATTAACTGGAATGCTAATTAAAATTAAACAAATCAGAATCATTTTCTGGTGAAATCTATTTTTTTTTTATAATTCTGATCGAGATAATTAAAATTCTAATGATATGATCAAAATCTTCTGGCTCGTTCATTTTCAAACATAAATTTTTCTCGATGTACTGCATTAATTTTTTATCAGCATTTTATATTGTAATTTATTTCTGAACAATTTAATCCCACGCAATTCAAGATATTACGTTGCCACATAATTTTATTTCAAGTCAGGATAATACAGAAAATGTTAAGATTCCTAGCTTCGAAGAAAAATATATCTCGAGCCACTTGATCGATCACCGGCGATCTTCTATAGGATCCGGATGTATGTGACACTAGGTTTATCTAATATTTGCGATATGCAACTCGAAGCTCTCGGTGCGTGACCACGCGGTACCAGCCCATATTTATTTACAGTGTACTCGGAAGTCGAGCCTTTCCTACACGCATGCAGACGATTGTTGCATCACGGAAACGCCCCTTCTCAACAGGTACGATCGCCATAAGCATTTCTTTCTCTGTCCCTTAATTTTTGCATTAATAAATTTAAAGTGATTTTTCAACACTAATTGCATAATTACACGCGTTCTCTAATTTCATAATTATTAAAAAAATTTTTACATCAGATTATTATATAAATACATTAATGCCTGTTTCTATCAATATAAATTAATTTTAATCTCGGTTCAACTAATTCTTCATCTTTTTCTAATTCTAAAAATTAAAAGAGTTAATTGAACCAAGATTAAAATTAATCTACATCGATAGAGGGCATAAATGTGCAAAATTCTTTTGAAAATGTTTAACGGTCGTGTTCAAATAATGATTCGACGATCCTGATTATTAATGTTAATTAACTACCTGTTTTCTAGCGCAATAAGCTATGATTTCCATGCATAATGCAGGATCAAAGTCGAGACGGAAATAATAGTAGAGATGATGATGCGATCGGCACGCGTCGCCATTCCGATTTCTATTCAAATGCATTTCGGTCTCGTCCCGATTGAACGAGGCATTAAAACGTTTGGTTCGGGGGTCCAGCCACACGGTCTATTGAACATTAAATTTAAGCAGCGGCTTCCTGCATCGCAGATCCGTCATGTGTAAAGCGTGCGTGGAGAACGCTACATTACATCGTCGATACATAAAGCACAGATTCTAAAAAAATAATCTGTATTTGCGCGCCTACTGTGAACGCATCGATACTATTGATCGCGATCAATCTTCGCGAGATCGCCAAGTGAAATGAAAATGGAAAGCGACAAGATAAATCTCGTAAATCTAATCTCAACGATTAGAAACTAAACTAAGAAAACTGATGATCGCTTTACCATCGAAAGTAATCTCCAACTTATAACAGATTAATGTTCATTTCTATCAATACAGATTAACTTTAATCTCTGTTTAACATTTATCTTTTATCTCTTTATCTTTCTCTATAATTCTTAGAACAAGATTAAAGCTTTCTATATTGATAGAAATAAACATATAATTTTAATGATAATCTAGAAATGCAAGCTTGAGAAAGAATAATAGCAAAACTCTCAATAAAAAAATAGCTAAATTAAGAATAAATCATTTAGTTGAGACAAATCAAAATTTCATATTTTCGAAATAAAGATAATTCAAATTTTCAAGTCCAGCATATTGCTGCGAATGCCTCTCTATTCATTGCATAAATTATAAATTTATACTGAAATCGATATACATATACCTTATGTATGTAGTATTTCGCACACGTAAAGTCTTAATGGCTTCCGCGCATTCAAGCATCGAGCTGCATTCTTAATCGTCATCCTATCGTGGATTTTTGAGATCATAAATGCACGAAGTAACTGGAAACGATTGTAACCCGTGCTGGGTAGTATAGAAAACAGTGTAGAAAATTGAGAAGCATCGAGCTGCATTCCTAATCGTCATCCTATCGCGAATTTTTGAGATCATAAATGCACGAAGTAACTGGGAACGACTGCACCCATCCGGAGTATAGAAAACAGTGTAGAAAATTGAGTCATTAACCCGTGATATAATAAAAGTCCAGCGTGCGAATGAGCGAGCAAACGAACGAGTGGGTGAGCGTGTGAAAAAATGTACAAGTGAAAAGCAAAACGAGAGAATGAACATATGAAACCAGCAGTATACGTGTTTTGTAAAAATAAATATGATTATAGTAAGATTATAGTAACTTAAGTTTCGTAAAGTAGCGCAAATCTAACTGCCGCAGAAATAAGGGAATCGGTAATAATTTATGACATTCTGTAATGTTTAAATTTGTGTATGACAAATTCTGTATCAATTATGCAAAACATCCTTGTTCTTTTTAATGAGATCTTCCATAACACATAAATATCAGTATGAAATGTATAATTCAATTTTAAATATAATTTAAACCGAGAATCACTTTTTCATTAATCACATAATCTATTGATTATCCTGCAATCTTGCGTTGAATAAAGCTGTTGAGCTCTCAGAGCTGCTTTGCAACATCGCCATTTTCTCGAACAACTGTCACGATACACGGATATCTGAACACGATGCATCTAAAATACACCGAGAATTAGTGCGATTTCGTGTTGAGGTATTTACGACGTGGAAGGTACCAATGTAGTCGCGTGGGTGGAAGAAAGGAAAACGACGTAGTCGTTCTTTAGTTCCTGACAACGACACGAAAGACCGCCACTTTGCAGGAGAACACACGAGCTTGTTACCGACTAGCCGAAGCCCGGGCTCGAATACAAAGTTTTACAGCTAGGTTGCTAACGGCATCAGCACTGGAACAGCTGGGCTACACTGCTCGGCAGGGTAGAGCTAGGTAACGTGGCCCCGGAATATTGTATATGTATTACACTCTGCACGCACGCCTGCGTAACACCGTTGCTACAACGACACCGATAAAGGAAGGAGGAAGACAAACTGAGTCATCTATGGATTAGATAGGTAGATCCTTCCATGATTTCATTTTACTTAAAAAAAATTTTTAATCGTGCTACTATCAGTAAAGTAATTAGCAATTTTTTTTAATTATCGCAAATTGGCAATACATCGTCAATCATTTTGCATTAATTAAATCGTATAAGTTGAGATATAAAACAGTTTACTATATTTCTAAATTAACAAAAAAATTTATTTTCTTTCAGAATTTCTTTTAAAAATTTGATTCAAGAGTTTTTTAGGTATGTAAAAATTTGTGATATACATATCGAATTTAGTTTCTTTGCAGCTCACATTTAACAACAAATAATATGTTTGATTGTTGTCGGTGGGCTTTTACATTTTATATGATAAATGTCGCACGCTCTACATGTGACAGTCGCAAAAGTGTACGGTATTATATCATCCTCCTCCGTACAGGTTTTTAAAATGTCGCGTGTAACACTTGGACGAGAAGATGACACGTTACAATATGTTATTTATATATTTCAATTAGATCTATTTTGCAATTGAATTGCAATTAAATATGTCGATAATTAGAATCTATTAAATATCTATAAAGTCCATTATAAATGCAGCTAGTATCGTCGAAATTATTTATGTTATATAGGAAAATAACTGTAAAGTAACAGTATTATTCCCACAAAAGATGGCAAATTGCAGATAATACCCCTATGTTGTAATTAGAAGTTTATCTATGATGAACGGTACTTCATATACACAACTGTAAAAAACATTTCGTATTTGTGTTAGAAACGGTCCACTCAACAAGTCGTTGTTAAAATTTTGTGTTGAATCTTTTAACATATTCGAGTGTTAATTTTAACTTGACTATTAAATAGTTATTTAAATAGTTTACGTTAAATTGATATTCAATATTTCTTAGTGCCAAAATAACACAATTTATAAGTGAATATGAAAACGTGTTTTTAAACATAAATTCTAAGATGAATGAAATGTGTTAATTTAACATATAATCTTATTGGAAAAAATATGTTTCCACAGTTTGTTTAAAAATTATGTCCTACCTTTTTTGTATTTATCTTCTTAAATAATATTTGTGTTACTTTCTAACATATTCATCTTGTATTAAATTAACATATAAATTTGAGTGAGGACCATTTAGGATACATGAAATATATAAATATTTTCAACAAATTTTCACAAATTTTCCAACGATGTGTGCAGCAATTATCGCAATATTCGTCGAGAAACTTGTGATGTATGTTGTGTTTAAAATAGTTTCATATTTTATAGAGATAGTGGGCGCACCTTCGAACAATGCCCTATGTTCCTCATAAAACTGATAAAGACAAGCACTGGTTCGAACATGCCTTGGCGAATCGCCAATACTGTCGTCCTTCTCATGTTACGTGCGGTGATCTATGACAAACGATCTTTGGCACTATCGCTATAATGTCGCCAGCAATTTTCTTTAAGCGTTTCATCCGCTACACAGGATGATTTTCCATTCTTAGAATAAAAACACTTTATCTCGTAGGATAAAATAAACACGCTTGTTAATATGCGCATCCCACGTTTAATCTCGCATTAAACTTTCCCGATTAACCCTTCAGAGCTGACAGTGAGTCTAATGAACCCAAGTCTATTGAAACTTAATTATAAATCTCTTCATCAAAATGCCTAACAATCCAATTTTCTAAATGTTGTATTTGCAGATTTTAATTATTATTAAAATATATTTATGTATAGAGTATTTATTCTTTTTTTATACGAATCATTTTGGTTCTTTGAACTTAATTAGTAAGTTTTAATTAACACAAAATGGGTCTTGCAGACTCAGTAACAGATTTACAGATTTGTGTTACAGATTTTGGCGTCAACTTCAAAGAATTAAATAATGCCACAAAAAAATATTTAAACAGAAGCATCTCTTTAAAATATAAATAAAACCGCAATTTGTAACCGATTAAAGTCTCAGCGAAAAATCAAGCGAAGCGAGATGATGAAGAGATTACTGGTTCGGTTTATCCAATACGAAGAATTTTCTGTTCGATAAAATTGCAGCTCACTAAAAATCAATGTACACGATATAAACGAGAAATCGATACATACGCCTACCTTTTGCCATTTACCGGCAAAGATGTCACGCGACATGCACGTTTTATACAGTTTTAATCGTCCGTGAACGACGACAGATTGACGTTTCGCTTCCTCGTATCGCCTGCTCTCCGGTTGAGAATGAAGATGGCGAAAAAAGACGTCGGTGATACTATTGTGCTTTGCTTCTGATTTATTTTTTATCATCACATCTCGCGATCGTTCCAGTTTCAATTCGCGAAATCCGGTATTAGGCGATACTTAAAAATATGTATGCGGAATACAAATTTTCTCATCGATCACCTTCTCCTTTCAAAGCCTTTCTAATGCTCATTCTATCAATGTAGACTAACATTAATCTCGGTTCAACTTACTGTATTTTTCCAATTCTTATAATTAGAAAAACATGAAGACTTAGTTGAACTGAGATTAAAATCTGTGGGCGAATAAGATGGGTTAAACGAATAAGAATAAAATAAAGTTATTAAACCTAATTAAAATTTCGAAGTTGTTAAAGTATGTATAAATCTACAAATTTGAAAATGCACTGAGAAAATTATTTAGTATTTATGACTATAATTGTAAATAATGGTAAAATAATTAAGATTAAAGTTCCATTTTTATAATTATTTTTACTGTTATATTATTAATAATTGGAATGTTTATGTATTACTAAAAAATTTATATAATTGGCACTAAAAATGAATATAAATTATAAATTATAATTATAATTAAATTATAGTAATTACAATCATTTTTTCTCCCAACACGGAAAGATATATTTAGATTAAACTGAGTTTTATGTAAAGATACGTAACTTTTCTCGTATTTTCTAAATACAATATTTGTTGAATCTATTTGTTATATAAATATAATGAATACCATTAAATTCTTTACTTTTTTATCTTTTTCAAATCTTTTTTTTTATCTTGTTTATCGCATTCGTAGTGTTGTATAATATTTATAAAATATATTAGGTGCGCAACTAAGTTCTCGCTGTTATTTTGATGCAAATGCCATTAAAATAACAGCGAGAACTTAGTTGCGCACCTAATATATTTTATAAATATTATACAACACTACGAATGCGATAAACAAGATAAAAAAAAAGATTTGAAAAAGATAAAAAAGTAAAGAATTTAATGGTATTCATTATATTTATATAACAAATAGATTCAACAAATATTGTATTTAGAAAATACGAGAAAAGTTACGTATCTTTACATAAAACTCAGTTTAATCTAAATATATCTTTCCGTTCAACCAAGGCAGTATTTTTTTCTCAAGCCTGTGTACGTGAGAAGAGGGCTGTAGCAACGCTGGCTGTGGCAACAAGGGAAAGTGGAATTTGGGCTACACGCAGGAGTGCGCGCGAGCGAGCGAGCGAATGGATTTCGTGGGGATGCAAGACACTGGAGCACTCGACAGACGGGGAATGACGGTAAATGACGTAAGATAAGATAAGGCAAGGTGAGGTTTGGTGAGCTGAGAGAGGCTCCTTATGGACATCCTTATAAGGTTGCGGCGCCCACGTGCGTGCGGTTCTCGACGACTCGCGGTGCGCTTTCGGACAAGAACTATACAAGTCTTTCTGCCTTTTTTTTCCAGCTATGTACACGAAGGAGCTTGTACCTTGAATAGCGTGACGCACGTATTTCTGTAAATTGTTTTGTATGAAAAAAACAATATGAAAAAAACGTCAGATTTTACGAAAATGTTCTTGTAAATATATTAATTAAATAAAGAATAAATAAATCAAAATCTGTTATCAAAATGTTCTTTTCGTTTCGTATAAGCAGCAAATCTATTGTACTATCAATTTGAAAATATGAGTTTGTCAAAATGAAATGTGATTATAAACAGAGAATCTCAATTTGTACAGAATGGAGTTTATTGTAATGGAGACAATTTGAACAATTTTATTAGAATTGTGAAAATAAATGTAAACAAAAATGATTACTAAAAATCCTAAAAAATAATTGTTGAAATTATAGTAAAACTTTTTAAATTTCATGTCAATTGCTGCATCAGTCTGAAAGCTATTTTACATTTAATGAAGTTAACTTTCCTTTAAAATACATATATTTTGATAAAGGACAAAGAATATTTAATTTCAATAACTTTATGATATCCTGCCAGAACACGTAGAGATCTAGATACAAGATTAATCGCGGTGACCGAGATATATCGACGAAATTAGTCATCGAGCCTTTTACTCCAATATCTCCGTCTGTCGAGGATATCGTCGAGATTATTTGTGCGGGCGTTTTCTGTAATGTACAGTAGGATTACACGCAGAATGCGTGTCAGCCACTTGTTGCACCACAATACCGCACCACAATCGATGTGCAGAAGTTGTATCATTGATTGTGAATTACCTACATTGCAGAGTACATGCCCCAAATTATTTGCGATAGTTAATTTAAAATTTCGAGTAGCAAAAAAAAGATAACATAATTGATAAATAATATTCATATTTTTAAATATCGACATATATATATATATATATTGTGTATGTGTGTATGTATATCTTTCATTCATTATAATAAAGACACAACTTAAAAAAATAAAGTTTTTCAGAAAATATCTTTGAATGTTTTGAATTATTAAAATTAAAATTTTCTAATATTAATTTTGTAATGCAATTTTTGTGTAACAACTAACTGTAAAAAAATAAAAATATATTCTTTCTTTTTTTCTCGTCATATTTTTTTGTAAGCAATTAAAAAATGACAATTTTTGAGTTATGTTATCTTTGTAACAAGCGATATGTAGAATTTATTATAGATTTAATCTCTTTTTTACTTGTCTGCCCTTCCGCCTCCTCAACGCAATCACTTCGTCACGTCATACTTAACGTGCGATCGTCGTGTGCTTATTATTATCGTTTGGCGCGGTGCAATTAATGACGCCGTCGTGCAGAGCGTAATTGACGAACGTGTCCCACTTGCTAATCAAACATGAGCGTCCTGTTACGCGTGGCACGTTACTCTCAACCTTCGGTGCAGGCGTCTTAAGTGCATCTACTTGAATGTCTGTCCACTGTCGCTTACCAAGCTCCAGATACCGCGGCCGAAATAGAGCGCGGACAAAAATAGACACGCGTTGTCCGTGAATGCCCGTTAATGCGCGAGATGAAAGAAATTGCGACGGGACGAGCGCATTAGAACGTGTAACGACCTAACGACGGTTATCTAAGCAGTCTGGCGAATATCTCGTAAGATCTGCATTTCTCTGAAAAGATCAAAATCCTTAACTCTACATTCTGAGAAAAATCATAGATTGCAATTATAAAGGACAATACAAGTTTTGAAATATACAGAATTAATGTACATATACAGTTGAATGAAATATTTTATGCTTATTGCTATAAAGTAGTGTACATTAATTCTACGAAATTTATAATTGTTACTTTTATAGTTATTATGCGTTTTTCTCTGACAAGGAAACCATCCTCTAAGGAATTGTCCTTCATATATGATCTCAATGAGTCTTGAATATATTGCAGGGTATCACAAAATATTAGAATAGTTTTTTATCTGCTTGCCTGAAGATTTAAAGATAAAAACAACCCTTGAGGTCGGAGTAAATTAAAAATTTGACATTTTCAAAAAATGTATTAGGTGTTGGAATTAATTCGTAGCGTTTTTAATGAAAGAATGTTATTTATTTCACATGAGCATTAAAAAATACATTAATGAAAGTACTTCCCATCACTTGTAAAACGCTACGAATTAATTCCAACACCTAATAAATAAATCGTTACATTGAAAAAAAATTGTTCATTTGATTAGATTAATTTAGTTTGTCTTTATTTCTTCCTTCTCTTTATTTTTTAAGTTGTATCGTTATTATAATAAATAAATTTAATCAATTAAATAATTTTTTCTCAGTGATAAGAGTATAGAATATTACAATTTTTTTGTATATCTCATTTTGTATATCTCGTTTTGAAGATATTTATTGAAAATAAAAAATCCATTACTTTTGAGGTGTTATTTTTCAACGCTTAAAGCTTGAAATAAGCAGATAAAAAATATAGAGTTTATATTATTTGATGCTCTACGTTCTACAACACATTCAAAACTCATCAAAATCGATGACGGACAGTTCAAACGATTGTGAATGTAGATTAAGCCCAAGTAAATCACTGAGATTAAAGGAACCTCAGAGATTTAATTTCTCAACAGGCATCAATCTATATTTGACAGATTAATACAAAATCAAACTGAAATGAGACACGAATAATTCAGGGATCAACTGATGTATTAGGTCGAAGCCTCGTTTGTCTGGCAATGATTCGCGTTGAATCATACGCGACCAATAGCAACTGCTATTTTTCTTAATACGCACAAAAAGAGACACAGTCAATACGTGCATTTTCCCAATGATTAGCAGACTGCACGTGCAATGCTATTTTTTTCAAGTCACGAAGGTCAGACGCTTTAAATATGGACAATAGTAAACGCGACGCGTTACGCGGCTAGGCGTAACTCGGTCGATTGACATTTTGAATGCGAATGGGCGGAAGAGCCTTTGTGCATTTCCGAACGACATGGACGATACCAGTTTAATTTTCATCGTCGTATTGATTACCTCGAGTCGTAGCGTTAGAGTTAGAAACAAATTGAGATCTGTTTTACTGAAATAATTTTTTTTTTTATAACGGCGACATATTAAAAGAGAAGCAAAGAATAATCTTATCACAGTTCATTTTTCTCTAATATTCTTAAATATTTCCAATAAATATAGTAACTTGCGAAAAGCATTCATCTCTGGTTAAGATAATAGATTTTTTACATTTTCTTTTAAAAACAAAAACTAAAGAAATTTTTATTAATGAAATTAGTTTAATTATTAATTAAGAAACTATTAGGTTAATTATTAATTAAGAAATTTTTATTAATTACTTAAATAATTCTATAGAACGGCGCCATTAAAAAAATATATAAGAAATGAATATTATAATATTTATACTAAGAATTTCCTTCCAAAATAAGGCTAAAACCGAGCAATAATGAATGTTATCAAATAAGAAGAGTCACATTTATTCTTTGAGAAAACAACAAAAATGTTTCGATTCTACTGACAATTTGTCTTCATCAGTTTAGTAAAAAGCAATAAAATTCTTTTGAAAAAGAAGCCTTCGCTTTTAAAAGAGAACATGAAAAATTCCATAGCCGAAGATTGTTGTATATCATTGTATCTCCTTAATATCCAAGTATATTCCAAAGGTTTAAATGTATTCGCTTCATGTTCGTTAATAAGCTCGTAGATAAAAGGAAATATTGAAATAGATTTAAAAGACGTTGCTTTCGCTTATAGTTAGAGATTAAATGCTTTATATGAACATAATATCTCCATGCTGTTCTGTGGTTTAGTTCTTGTAACAGTTCTCCATTTAGTTCTCGTAACAAAATAATGATGCAATTGCACTCCAACGACGCGTTTCGCTGATCATGCTGCGTAAAAACTGTTACACGCGAATATGCGTCTCTCATTCCTCGTTTCAGAACATTTCTCGCGGAATTCGCGACGGCCTGCGTCATATCGAGGACGATCTGTGCACGTTATGCGTGAGAGCGCGTTGCGATGCCGTCCGTGAAAAACTCACGCGCAATATTACGGCAATTGTGAAATTCTCGCAAATTAATCAGTCCGCCGGTAAGTTCATTAACGAACCAAAACGTTCGTTACCGCAGATCTCAATGGCACCCATTCAACAGGGATCGCGCGATGACGTGATGAATTAACCACTAATTGAAGAAGATCGAACCGAAACTTGACAAGGATATCGAAGTGCCGGCAATTAGCCACAACCTCAAATAATTTCTTTAGAAAACGAACTAAACATGAAGTGCTAAAATCATTGAAAAGTTCGAAGTGCTAAAATCGATGAAAAATCATTAAAAAGTTAAGCAACACACTCATTTGAAATTCAACTTTTTCTATTGTATAATTGCGATTACAACAAATCTAACCGCGTAAAAAATGACTTCGATATAAGTATAGAAGAAAAATGATTGATCTGTGTGAAGTTAGCCTCAGCTTTTGAAAAAATAAACTTTTTGTAGCTTATTTGATTACTCATCATTTGCATATGTATGCACACTTCTGGTGTAAAAAGTATTAATTGTAAGTGTAATATAAAAAATATCTTATAATATGACTATACAACGATCGTTCATTTAGCAGAATAATAAAGTAAATTTGATATACATAAGTGGCGCCGGTCTCTCTGTATGAACCCGCTAATTTCATAAAATTTACTAGAATTCTAGCGAATATTATTTTACATTTTTCTCCATGTACGATTAATTTTTTGGGTAAAAATAACACCCTACTGCATATAAAAACAAATTTACACATTTGAATGTGTATAGTACTATTTTTATAAAGAAAATTAAATCACATACATATATTGAAGTCGCTTATAACTTTAATTTGCAATGTATAAAAATTAATTAGTGTAATTATTATAAGCTGTGTTTATGTGAAAACTTATGAAGAGATTATATACATTAGATTATGTATATATTGCGTACAAAGCCTATTCTACAATTGCGTAAGCGTAGTTGTAAGTGATTGTAGTTGTAAGAATTGATCAATCACAGTCGAATATGGAAAGAATATTCGACTGTGATTA